GACGGGGGCTATGGCTTGCTGGCAAGGGAGTGTACTACATTGCTCTTGCACAACACCAGGGAGCTTGCTTTTCAGAACCTATGTCTGGTGGCTCACAACCACCTGTAACTCCGGGTCTAGAGAATACAGCGCCCTCCTCTAGCCTCCGTGGGCACCTGCACTCATGTGCAGAGACACACGGAGATAAGCACCATTAAAAATTTAAAAACAAAACAAAATCTTTCAAAATCATTTTTATCAGGATACTGTTTACAAAGCTTGTATTGTGCTTTTCTTTAGGCATAGTTTATGTACTGGATGGCTCATAATTAAAAGTACAAAATTTCAAGGTTTTTTTTTTTATCGGCTGTTGTAAAACCGTCAGCACTCTGTAAATTAGAGTGTAAATTAGAGTTAAAAAGTCACATACCCATTTGTGATTGCTACTTGCTCTTTGTTTCCATGCCTAATTCTGGACAAATGTTTTGTCTGTTTGGATGTTTCATATAAAGGGATTTACACAATATTTGATTATCTTGACAACTTATTCGGTGTAATTTTTAAGGTTTACCCAGGTTGTGGCATATTTCAGTACTTGGTTCTTTTTTATTGAGGATACTTTAGAAATGAGAAAAATACAAAGAAGTAAAAGCAATTCTTGTTGCAAGACAGCATTGCTCACGCATGGGTGTGCCTCTTTCTCACCTCTTTGGTGATTTTGTGGGCTTATACATGTGCATTTATATTTGTGTGTGGGTTGCAGTGAGATAATGACAGGTGTAGTGTTAATGGGCTGCTTGTGGCACCTGGCTGTACTTCCCTCTGGACAGTGGGTGATGGTGCATGCCTTTAATCTCAATATTCTGGAGACAGAAGCAGGCAGATCTCTGTGAGTTCAAGGCCAGCCTAGTCTACAAGGTGAATTATAAGACAGGCTCCAAAGCTATGCAGAGAAACCCTGTCTCAAAAAACAAAAGCAAAGTGGTTTCTCATTGCATTGATAATTCTTTGAAAACGTGGTCTTGTGACATTCCTTCATAGTAGGAGTAACTATTTTTTCCTTATTGTTGAAAGTTTAGGTGATTTTTTTTCATATTCTTACTATGAAGTAATTATAAATACTCCTGAATTGGACCTCACAAGGACACGCACATATACCACACACACAAATACACACACACTCTCTCTCACACACATACACACACACACACACACACACACACACACACACATACATACACGCAAACCAATGTGTTATCACTTTATGCCAATATTCTGATTCTTGTAATTCCACAATTCTGAAAAGAAGAAAGTAAATTGTCGTGTCTCCCAGTCATTTTACTTCCCTTCTTGGGGGATTTCTTTTGAGTTATAAAGTCCATTTAAGCCTTCATTAAACCTAGTTCAAACTCAGTTCTCAAGAACCACACCTAGTTTTGCAAATATTTAAATAGTCTAGTCATTAGGTGTTGGTGAAGGTACGGGAAGACAAGTGTTCTATTTGTGAAATTGCGCACTTTAGCAAGTTTGTCTCTGACAAAAATAACTTAAATATTCACCCATTTGACCCAGTGAGTCCACTCAATGTCAAAAATGGATTGTTAAGATCAAGCCAAGAGGTAGCTCTGTGCTAAAGAGAATTTACTGTTCTTGCGAGGAGTTGCATATGGTTTCTAACACCCACACGGTAGCTCACAACTGTCTGTAACTTCAGTTCTAGGGGTTCTCAGCATCCTTCCTGGCGTCTGGAGACAACACCCATACATGTGATGCCCATTCATGAATACAGTCACACATACACATAAACAAAATCAAATATTTTTAAAGATGCCATAAGAATCTTGGCATAAGAACACTGATACATTTAGTATTTATTGTCATTTATGGTGCATCAAGTATGTTACCCATTTTGTCCCCTGTCAGCCTGGATTATACCCAGAACCTCATGTACAACGATAAAATGCTCTACCACTGAGCTACCTTCCTCCAGTGGGAATTAATATTTACATGGATTACTTTAAATAACTGTTTTCAGAGCAAAATTGGGCAGGAAGTACAGGGTTCCCAAAGTGTTACAGCCCATAAATGCACAGCCTCCTTACACTGATATCCTGAACTGAAGGATGCATTTGTTACATTGGTGAACTCTGTCTCCATGGTTTTGGTCTTTCCACAATGTCATACATTTAGATTTTTGCAGTATGAAGCTTTTTATGACCAGCTTCTTTCACCTAGTGTCATGCCTTTAAGGTTCTTCCAGTGTTACATGATTTAATTTTTTTTTTCACCCGGGAACTGAATAGTATCTGGGTGTACCAGCATTTATCAATGAACTTACTAAAGAACATCATGGCAGTTTGGAGTGGAGTTCCTGTTAAGACTCTCCTACAGTTGTTTTCTGTGCATGCGTTCACAGCTTTAAACATACTTGGGTAAACACAGTAGCTCACAGTTGCTGGTTCATCTAGTAAAAATGTTTAGTTTTGTGACAAACTGTTTTGCAAAGTGCCTATAATGTTTCACACACTCATTAATAACATACACCCTTGCTAACATTTGGTGTTCATGGTGGTTTGACTTGTCCATGTTTAAGTAGGTATACAGTCATTGTTGTTTTAATCTGTACTTTCTTAATATGTATGATGTTGAGCATCTTTCTATATGCCTATTTTCTCTTTTCATACTTCCTTTTATATCAGGTCATATTGTAATACAGGGTACTTTTAAGTTTTAAAATGCCTCTGAGATTTTAATATGCATTTCTTTTGAAGTGTCTAGAGTAATGCCATTTTATCCTGACTTCATTGTGCCTCTACCCTGTAACAGTCATGTCTTCCTTGGCAACACATTTGAGTTTTCTAGGACCATAACCATGGTCCAGATGTATGAATCAAAATAATTAATGTTTAAACTAATCGAAAAAGGTTTAAATAGAAAATAATTTTCATGCTATGCTGGAAATAACTATTATTTTGTGACTAAACAAATGTTGTAAGCTTACTCTGACCCTCATCTAATATTGACGCAATTGTGGTGTTTGCTTTTAAAGATACTGTGTCCCTGAGCTTCAGTGCCATGAGACTTTGAGGCATGAGCCTGTTCTTGGTCACTGGTTTGACACTCTTAATTGGTTTAGTCAGTAGGCTGTCTCCTTCTCACATGAAACTATTACCCTTTGAATTGGTGTGTCATCTTACGTTCATGCTTCTGGACAATGGGAAGCACTCAGATGGCATTTTCTCTATGTAACCACATTGGTTTCTTCCTTTAGAATTTTCAATCTATCTGTTGAAGCCTGAAGAAAAAGCAGATACATTATTATTTTAAATCTAGGTTCCAGAAAAGGCAAGGCTATATCACTCAAGTGGATGGATTCAGGGAGCACTTACAGTTTTAGACAAAATAATACCTCTATCTGCTGGTCAAATTATACCACACCCTGAACCATTTTTCCCTGAGACATGGTTTCTCTGGGTATACCAGGCTGGCCTTGAATTCACAGAGATCATCTTCCTGCCTCTGCCACCTGAGGACTGGGTGTGCTCCACCATACCTGGCCTTGTTTAACTCTTGAAACAATCTTGAAATAAACAACTCAATCAAAACTCCAGGGCTAAGTTTGAGGTTGAAGAGATGATTTATGTTGTGCCAGTTTGAAGTTATTACAGTAAGACTGACTACCACCAAGGGCGTTGGAGGAAATTAGCAGGGAAATGAACAAGTTAAATTATGAAGTGGCTAGAGGATAAAGGTTGACTTGGCCTTCTAGCTTGCTCAACTAACTTTTTAAATACAATCCAGGCCCATGTGCCCAGGGATTGCACTGCACACAGGCCCTCTATCAATTAGCAGTTAAGAAAAATTCTCCCAAGACATGGCTACAGGCTAATCTGATTGGAGGAGTTCTTCAGTTGGGGTTCCCTTTTCCTGGGGGCACTCTAGGCCTATGTTAGGTTGACAGCTGAAGCTAACTATGACAGTCATTGAGGCCAAGTAGTACTGAGGCATTTTGATTTTGTTTCTAATGTGATGGGAATGGGGGGGGGAAATTAAAGTTACTGGAGTATAAATGGAGGGATCTAGAAATACGCAGTACCTGACATGTAATTCTATGATGTAGAAACACCAGACAAAGAATGATCAAAGGAGTATGGGGCTGTAGAAGATGTTAAAGAACAAAATCTATCTAGGTGTGGTCACATCCTCCAGGAAATGGGTAAGCTTGTTTCTTATGTGTGAATTTGCATGAGAGTGGGTTCTTGGAGACTTCTGGGTAGCAGAAAATTTCTCAAACTTTAATGTTTACAATCATTTTAACTCTATAAATTTTATTGAAAAAGCATACATTTATTTGACAAAACTAATGTGAACAGAATAAAGATATTTTCTTTTTCACATGTTGGTTGGTGAAAGACTGGAATAGTTCATCTTAATTTCATAGAGACTTGAAAATGAGTGTCAGAATCTTCCTTTTGCTATTTCTTTGGAGGCCAGTTACTATATAGGATGGACATTAAGCAATAGATCATAACATTTCTATAATATTCTGTCAGAACCTTTAATAATTCATTCATTTAATATCTAGTGTTCTATGTTTTAGACTTTGACTATATGGATTAAAGTTGTAAAATTCCCAATATTCAGGATGGAATGAGTAAACTACATCAGGGTAATCCTGTCCCATTTCTTTTTAAACATATATTGTTATTTTAATTGCCCACATTGATGATATAATATAGCATTTCAATAATGTATAACGTACATAATAACCAGATAAAGGTAACTGTCATGTCACATCAAACATAACTTTTTCCTTTCTTGTTGGAACATAGGTATTTGACATGATCAATTAATTGTTGTCAACATAGTTATCCAGTAGAACATTAGATTTCTTCATCCAGGTGGCTCCGTAGCTTAGTTGGCTAAAGTGCCTGTCTCATAGATTCTTTCATCCAAATGCACAATGGTGGCAGATATCTTTTTTCCGTTCCCCTCTATTTATGAGGGTATAGGGCTAAAGGATGAGCCTAAGAAGAACAGTATTGCACACCACATTGAGGGCTTGTCTTCCCCTTATAGGCAATTGCAGTAGATCCTTACAATCTGGAAAACTGAATCAGGTCTGGACTGATCTCAGCAACTGACCTGCAGCCTGAAAGAACAACACATATAATTGCTTTGAGGCAGGTGAGAGGGCTTAGAGGAGAGAGGTACCTGAATACAGATCTGATGACCTGGGTGTGAGTTCCACAAAATAGCTGGAGAGATATAACTGTCAAGAATTGTCCCTTTACTGTCACACCTACTCCTACATATACATATCCTCTCTTCTGCCTCCCCATGTGTGCATACATGTCTCTCTCTTGCTATCTCCCCCAGTGTGCATACGTGTGTGTGTGTGTGTGTGTGTGTGTTCCTCTCTCAATCACAGAGCCCATTTCTCTTACTCCATGATATAAGGTGATATAACAGGAGCAAGCCTTTAATCTCTGTATTTACCTTGATAAAGTGTTGTTCATACTGAATGAGTATTATAATTCTGGTTTCATTGGGAATCAATGATCTTATAGCTGCTTGTAGTTTACACATAGCCACATCAAAATGTAAGACCACACACACACACACACACACACACACACACACACCTTTATTTTAGCACCAAAAAACCCATCTGATAAGGTGGGTGTACTTAGGCAGTATGCCCTAGTCTGTGAGGAAGAATAAACTCAGGGATACTGTAGCAGATGGGGTGAGTACCCCACATACAGAATGCCTTCTAGGGAAGTTCCTGTCAAGGAAAGATGGCTCATTATCAGAAAGTCTTAATTAGTATGTGACATGCAGACTGGAACTGAGCTTCCACATGGGGATTGAACAACAACAAAGTAAACAGAGCTAGCATGGTGGCTTGGAGAGCTGTGAGAAAGGACAGACTGTGAGAAGTCCCTGGTGATAAAGAGGCTGAAGGACTTTAATAAGAGACTGTGTGGTATTGAACTTGATGTAGCCACCTTCATCTCTGCACACACCAGTCACAAAAATGTACCCACCAAGAGATTCTTTTCCTAAAAGAAGGTAGGAAATGGTTGAATTTCACACAATGGGTAGGAGCCTTAGGCAGCCACAGATTGAACTAATTTAACACAGACAATGACCTCAAGAAAGACACAGGGTTTCCACTGTCAGAGAACCCTTCCTAATCTCTTTATAGAACATTTCTACCCCATTCCGTCTTCGGGACAATTACTAAGCCAAGGCAGGGTCAACCAGAGTGAGGGTTTTCAGCTTCTGTCTGTAGACCAGCCACCTGACACTCTGAATGGGGGATGAGGGGAATGGGCAGAATACATACCTGAAAGGGCCATAGAAGTTTGGAACTCTGCTTTTAAAATATTTAAAACTTCCTTAACACCATGTTCACCCTGAAAAGTAGGAGGGGAGAGACACAGCTTTGATAGAACACTCTGACACTTGCTGGGTGCAAACTGTGTGTACAGTCAGAACAGTTTCAGGGAGGATACAATTGCTTAATCAGAATTGTGTAGAGACTAAAAGAAAACTAAGGGGGAAAGGTAAGCATGAAGGCTGGTGAAGTCTGCAGAACACTGCAGAGGCCTGAAGGTGAGTGAGCCGGAAACTGTTTTGCAAAAACTTCAGGATATGTCTTCATTGGAAGTTGGATTATAGAAAACCATGGGGATAAGTGTCACGTTCAGAATCTCATGCTAGCAATCCTACCTTGCAGGCAAGGCCCCAGAGGATTGGTCTCCCAAGGAAAACACACTTAGCCCCAAGGGCCAGTGCCTTCAAGACATCATTGCCAGTTCGAACCCCACCATCCATGTACACTTCAACTTTCCCTTTGACAGCGGCCACTACTTCTGTCAGAGCATCAATCTGAAAAAGAAATGCACACATAGATTCAGGTATTTCTGCTTTGTTTCTCATGGGGTCATGGGACTAGTCTCCTCTCAAAGTAATAGGAGCAAGAAATCACAGCAAAGACTAAGCCTTTCATGATTTTCTCCAAATGCGCCTGCAGTTGTGGGAACTCAGCATCCTCCTCACAAGGCTGGAAACTCCTGGGGACCAGATGAGACTCCTGCTCACTGTCCCTCCAGCTACTTTCCATTTTACCTCCAGTCTAGCTTCTGACTCTTTAAAAATCTATTCCATGTTAGAAGGTATGCTTGGCTCCTGTTTACATATTTAGGGAGACATCTTTCCATTCATAGTGTTCACTTTGGCATTATGGAAGCTGTCATCTTTCATTTATCCTCCTATCATGTTTCTAAAATGTTATAGTTAGAGATGTCCTCCACTGCTTGGGCACTAAGTCTTTTTTGTTTGTTTTTTAGAAGAATTAATATGATTAGTCATGCCTGAGTGTCTAAACATCAACTTGTTTCGGAAAACTGCAACATTTCTTAAGTCATCATGAATAGGCAACTCATCCCCAAGGTCCTCATCTGAGATATGGAAATAAGAACCTAGCAGCAACATCATAAAAGATCAAGTTATGCCTTTGGAAGAGAAAGGAAAACCAGGGTCACTTTGTCCTGGTTTCTCTTAGTTCCAGACTTGGATGATAAAACCTTGATTCCTCCAAGTGTCTTACCCACCCCCATCCCCATCCCCATCTGGCATCCACAGGTCCCTGGCTCCTCCATATCTACAAGGAGGAGGACAGCAGGCCTCTCCTGGAGTCTGGATGAAGGTCCTTGAAGAGGTCATTGTGAACTGCCTTTGATTATTATCTTCTGAAGAAAACCAAAGAGAAGCATTGAAATAGAGCCCCAGACCCTGACACAGTGGAAGGAACCCATCGGAAAGCTACTGCATCTGAACAGAAAAATAATTAAGAAAAAAACAGGGATGAAATAATGTTGTACTTTGATGTATGTATGGAGGGAGTACTGGATGTATTTTGGCTTATGTAATAAACTCATGTCCAAGTATTATTTGGAATATTTTTATGATTCTGTGAAAAAGGAAACATGAATATACATATGTATATACATACATATATACGTATACATACTCAGTCATACTCTAGTCATACTCAGAAATGCATCTGATAATAATTTAGAAATAGAATGCAAAATTCTATAAACCCTGCACGCAGGAAGCAGAGGTGAAGATAACTAGGAGTTCAGGGTCAGGCTGGACTACATACGAGTCTCAGAAGAACCAAAAATGTCCTGGAGATGTTTCATCAGGTGAAAGCATTTGTCATACCCAACCATACACATAAACATAGGCAAGCATGCACACACACACATGAGCATTCACACACACACACACACACACACACACACTAAATAAATGTAAACACTAAATTTAAAAGCAAATGCATGAAATAATAAAAGCAGAAGTTGATTTCCACCTAGGGTGCAGAACGGTCCATTTTCAATAGATTGGAACAGGAAATTTACTGGAGTTTTCTGAAAATGCTGTGTTTGACCCCCAAGAGGAAGTACAAAGACAGTGTTTTTTATGGAAACTCACAAAACAGGCTTATTCATCTCCTTTAAGGATTTCCTTTTATATATTCAATTGCCAGAGGCCTTGTTCAAGCTCAACGATGAGACGGAAGTGTTGAAAAGGTTAAAATCCAAAACTATGTTCAGGTCCTCAACCTGGTTTCCTTGTTGATTCAACACTCTGAGTCACTGCTTGGAGACAGGAGCATTATCTCAAAGCAATTTCTACTGAGGTTTTGGTTTTGTTAGTTGATATAGAAATGGATATTTTGTTTTGGAATGGATTTTCATGTATTGATACAATTTAAGGTCAATTGTGTGATTAAGTATATTTCTCCTCTTGTTTAGATGTTGTGTTTATATAACTCAGAAATGTAATGTATAATTTAGTACAGATTTTAGATAGCTACCCATAATAGTCAAAACTTATAATTAAGTTAGTTAGGATTTCTAGATATATAGACATGTATTTAAGATGAATAGGTATTCTTCAAACCTTTCAAGGACCTACAGAATATGGCATTTAAAATGTTTTAGGTTTTTCTTGACAGTGAGACATAACTGCTCCTGGCAACACCACCTGCGTCAGAAAGGAAGATGGGCATTGAAGAAACACGTTATGGAGTTTACTTCCAATATGGCAAGACTAGCCATTTGGACAAGATACTGCTCTTGTCTGGACTGTTTGACTTTGTGCTGTATAAACTGAACATGCAGAACCCACAGAAAAGTGACTGGTGATTCAAGATGGACATTGCTACAGAGTTCCTGCTTCATGGAAGAGTCTGCCATACAGTCTGCAGGACACAGAGGAAAGTGACTGACAAACTGCCAATACAAGAAGACAGTTTAACGTTTCCTGCTTTGCTGAAGAGTCTGCTAGACACATTATGGCCTAGGGTCTGAAGATGGAAGATTACAGAAGAACTTCAGATGACTGACAAGGCGAGATGTCTCTGTCATTTCTAGAGTTTATATACTATCCTTCTGTGGTCTTTGAAGGAGTTGAAGATAGATAGTTATGGTTAGTTTTCCTTAGGATTAAAGATAAGTTACACATAGACTTTAGACTCACAAAGATAAGATAGATAATAAAATAGTTTCTTTTAATCTTGGTAAATGTTAATGGACTAATTAGTGTTAACTGTGATTCTTATTTGATAACTGTTATGTGATATATTTTGCTATGTTAAGGTTAAAACCCTTCTTTTTATTTAGACAGAAAAGGGGAGATGATGGGAGATGCTGTTATGTATATATGTTTCTCATAATGGTTAATAATAAAGCACTGTTGGCCAATAGGAAAGGAAGATAGGAGGGACTAGGAGACAAGGAGGAAATAGGAAGTAGTAAGGAGGAGAGAAGATGGAGAGTGGGGAGAAAGCAGTATGCCAGCAGGCTCCCCGGTAAGAGAAATACATAGATCAGCAGAAATGGGTTAATACTTAAGACAGAGCTAGCCGATAAGAAACTAGTACTGGGCTAACAGATTATATCATATACAGAGTCTCTGTGTGCTATTTGGGGCTGGCGCGGTGACGGGACAAGACCAGTGGTGGTGGGTGGAAAAACTGTACTTCTTACAGTTAGTTGTATCAAACTTTTTCTCATTGAAAGGAAATATATGAGAAGAAATGGAAAAAAGCAGATACAAAACACATTATTTACAATGAAGCCCTACTAACTCAGCCAGTGAGCCAGGTTTGTAAGCCAGATCCTGGCAATGAAGGGGGCCCTTTTAGGTCCCATGCTCACGTGCTTTTCCTTGTTTTCTGCCTTGAGAGGCACAACTGACTATACCTCTCCATCCAGCTTTCACTGAGAGACACAGCAGAGTGAGCCTTTTAGGCCTGTCGTTCACTGTTCTCACTAATTAGTGCCTGGGAGAGAAGGGGTGGTGGCACCTGAAATCACTTAGCTCCACAAGCCTCCACAGCTGGAACAGCTTTGGAATCTCTGCTTCTTAGAATCTATCAGTTGAAGAACTAATCAAGAACACACTTATCAGATTTTAATTTTAAGGATGGTCACTGATGGGTTGTTTCAAATATTTTTTAAAAAGCAAGAACCTGGAAGCAACCTAGATGCCCCTCAATTGAAGAATGGATAATGAAGATGTGGCACATCTACACAATGGAATACTACTCTGCAGAAAAAAATGGTATCTTGAAATTCGAAGGCAAGTGGATGGCACTTGAAGAAACCATCCTGAATGAGGTAACCCAGTCACAAAAAGAGGAACATAGTATGTACTCACTCATATATGGATTTTAGACCTAGAGCAAAGGCTCACCAGCCTATAACTCACACCACCAGAGGTACTAGGATACAAGGTGTATTCTAAGAGATTCATATAAAGTGCCTCACAGAACTGGGAAGGGACAAGTCCCCCAGAGCACATGGGAAGTGGGGGGGCAGTGAATGGAGAGAGAAGTAGGAGAAAGAGGGGGAGGAGAGGAAAACACGTGCAACTAGGAAGATTGAGTCCAGGTAGGAATAGAAGACAAGAGGGGGGGGGGGCGAGGGAGAGAACACAAAAGAGGGAGCCAATATTGGTTTGAAGAGAAAATTGTCGGTCTAGAGACCTACAAGACTGCCACCAACTAACAATTTGAGCATCCGTGGAAAGGCTACCATAAATGCCCTTCCTGGATAGTGATATCAACAATTAACTTATCCATGGAGCCCTCAACTAATGCCTGTTGGAAGCAGAAGCAAACACCCATGCATAAACACTGAGTCAAACTAGAACCCAGATGCAGATGGAGAGGACAAGACCAGGCTGCAGAAACACATAGAAACAGCTGACCTGAACAAGAAAGAGCTAACGGGCCCCCAGACTAATAGCTGGGAAGCCAGCATGGGACTGACTCAGGCCCCCCTGAATATGGGTCTCAGCCAGAAGGACTGAGCAGTCTAAGGGACCTCAGACAGTGGAACCAGGATTTATCCCTGGTGCACAAAAGGACCTTGTGAACACATCCCCCATGGAGTGATAACTGCCTTAACCTAGAGACAGGAGAGAAGCCCTAGTCCCTACTTCAAATGACCTGTCAGGTCTACATGACCCCACCTGGATGACATTGCACTACATATGGAATTGGGGTGAGGGGATGGGAGGGGAGGGTGGTTAGGGTGCATGTGAGAGGGCAGAAAGGATAAATGTGAGGAAAGGAGGGAGAGAGGGAGGAAGGGGGAGGTAGGGAGGGAAGGAGAGGGAACTGGGATCAACGTGTAAAATAATAAATTAAATAAAAAATATGTTATTTGAGATTTATGGCCAAATATACTTGTATGAAAAGTTGTTGCTATTTTCTGAGTCTATGTGAATTTGGCCATGTGTATGAGTATCCAGTGAATATCCACAAAACAATTGAAATCTCTGAGTTTTCTCAGTCTGTTTCCATGGCTATTTCTCACACATGTTAGAGCATGTCATCTTGCTGAGTTAAATCTTGCATAACTATGTTCTATGAATTGTTATCAGGCCTTGTTGCATAGCTCTTACTATGTTTATAGTAACTCTTCATCATCGATCTGTGAGCCTTGAGTGGGAGGGGTTTATGAATACATCTCATTTAGACATGAGTACTTCAAAGTCCCTAAATATTGTCTTGATATGTATCTCTGTCCTAACTGCCATCTACAAGAAGCTTCTCTGAGGGTCACTGAAAAATTAACTGAGTACTATTTCTTTCAAAATAAAAATTTAAAAAAAAAGTAAGGTTCAGTAATTCTCACAGTCAGGGAACAGAGGTGGGAAGACTGAGGGGCCAAAGCTAGTATGGGCTACATGGTGTGACCTTGTCTAAAACAACAAACAGTCCAAACAAAAAAGAAATGAAGTAGGAAAACACTGAAATCAATGCAGGTGCTCAACAATGAGGAGTTGATTATATAAATTGCCCATTCATGACACATCATTGAAAAGAAGACTTATAAATAAAAGTATATGCCTAATACATTGTGCAACTAATATGAAACATATTAATATCTATATTTAAAACCAGAAAAGGTTGATTATATTAATAAGTACATAAAATTAGCACCAATGATTGTGGTAAAATGAAGGGTGTTTTTAAATCATTTTCTTTTGTTCATGGGTATTCTATAAGAGGCAAAAGGAACAGAAGAGGAAAAAGTTTTGCTTATGTTTGTTAAAAATGAGAACAGCCTTTGGGGAAAGATAGCATAAATATATGTATGAAGACAAATCAACAACTAATTCCCATGTAAAGACACTTACTCTACTTCCCTTTCCTCACTTTCTTACTCTCAAGCACCATGCAGAACAGAGACACATTGGTGAGCTATTGTAAGCTGTTACAGATTTTCATTAAAGATTCAGCCATATGCTATGTATGCACTAGTGAAGCAGTGCATTCACTTGTATTTTGAAAAACACTTCTGCATCCACGTGAGATGCTGCTCCTTCCTGCATTTTGTCAGGCAGGAAACCTTGAGGTTTCTAAACCTCCATGAAGACACACCGGCTTTAATCTGTTCACTGCTGGCCCAAGACAAGGTCACCCTGGCTATTGAGCATCTCCCTTAGTCTGCCTCTTTATCCATTGTGAACTTGTACACATCATTGATGTCTCTAAACTCCAGTATCCCTAACTATAAAATAAGGATATATCTGTTTACATATGTTCTACAGACAGTTTGCAAATATAGTCATGTGTATAGTAGGCTATTATTAGTAGTTACTCACCCTTAAAAACCATAAGCAATACTTGTGATAAGGGAGATGACAATGTGTACCAGATTCAGTAGGGGGCTTTTGTGTAGACAAGCATAGAGCATTCAGATAAACCCCTCTGTAGTCATCTTACTTACTGAAGCAGGAACTTCGTCAAGCTGCCTCCCACCGTGGTTGGAAACAAAGATGCCTTGGACGTTGTGTTTCACTGCTAATTCTGCATCCTCTTTTGTCAAAATCCCTTTAAGGATAATGGGCAGTCGAGTTATACTTTGAAGCAAGGAGAGATCATTCCAGCAGAAAGAAGCACTTGGAAAAGACATGGAGGCAGAATGTGTGGAATTTCTCTGTAGAGAATGAGAAGATGGATATTAGTCCCAAATGCTCACATTACTTGGTTCACTAAAAAGATGAGACACACTTGTAACACCATTATTTATAAGCTATGAAAGCTGAGCAATGCTACCCAACACCAAGTCTAACCCCTTCCTTTCACAAAACTTGTATAAAGAATTTCTACTCCAATGACTTGTTCATTGACTATTAATCAATGTCTTTGCCTGATAATTACTCTAGGTTTTAGAGACACAATGACAGATAAGACAAATCTATACTTTAAAAGGGTTTAGTATGTGAGATGAATAAAAAAAATGGTTATGAGTCAGTTTGACATTTTCTTCATTTATTTTCTTTTCCTTTCTCTTTCTTCCTTTCTTTTCTTCTTGTTGGATTTCAAGACAATGTTTCTCTGGGTAATGGCTCTAGCTGTCCTGGAACTTACTTTGTAAACCAGACTGGCCTCAAACTCACAGAGGATTACCTGCTTCTGCCTCCTGAGTGCTGGAATTAAAGATCTGTTCCACCCTGATATCCAAACTATACCTAGAACTCGAAAAACTAGAAATCAAACTACCAAATAATCCAGTTGAAAAATGGGTTACAGATCTAAATGGAGAATTATCAACAGAACAATCTCAAATGGCAGAAAGACACTTAAGGGAATGCTTAACATCCTTAGTCATTAGGGAAATGTAAATCAAAACCACTCTGAGATTCCATCTTACACCAATCAAAATGGCTAAGATAAAAAACAGCAATGCTGCTTATGCTGGAGAGGATGTGAAGGGGAACACTCCTCCATTGCTGGTGGGAGGGCAAGCTTGTTTTGCTGCTATGGAAATTAATATGGCTATTCTCAGGAAATTAGGGATCAACCTACATCAAGACCCTGCAATACCACTTTTGAGCATATACCAAAGGAGGCACATTCACACCACAAGGACATTTGCTCAACTATATTCACAGCAACATTATTTGTAATAGCCAGATCTTGGAAACAGCCTAGATGCTCCTCAATTGAAGAATGGATAAAGAAAATGTGGTATATTTACACAATAGAGTACTACTCAGTGGTAAGAATCAATGACATCCTAAAATTCGCAGGCAAATGGACAGGACTAGAAAAAAATCTTCCTGAGTGAGGTAACCTAAAACCAGAAAGAAAAATATAGTATGTACTCATTCATAAGTGGATACTACACGTAAAGCAAAAGATACCCAGCCTACAATCCATAACCCCAGAGAAGACTGAACCCTCTTACAGAAACAGATAGAGAAATCTACAACTATTGGGTCAAGCTCCTGGAGCACAATTGAAGTGAGGAGCATAAATATGAACAAAGTAGTCAAGACCAGGAAGGGGAAACCCACAGAATCAACTGATCCGAGCTAGTGAGAGATCACTGACTCAGGTCTGACAAATAGGGAACCTGCATAAGAATGAACTAGACTCCCTTAATATAGGTGCCAATGGTATGAGTGTGGCAATATATGAGACCACTGGCAGTGGGTCCAAGATCTAACACTAATGCACAAACTGACTTAGTGGAACCCATTCTATATGGAGAGATACCTTGCCCAGTCTAGACACAGGGGTGTGGGGAGTGGAAAGGTGCCTTGGTCCTGCCTCAACGAGATGATGGGACAGACTTAATAGATTTCCTAGGGGAGGCCTTACCCTTTCCAAGGAGTAGATGGGAAGTAGGAGCACGAATGGGGGGAGTGGGAGGAGAGAAGGGAGGGGGAACTGGGATTGGAATGTAAAAAAATATATTAATAAAAAAAAAAAAAGATAAAGGCCTGTGCCACCACTACCCAGCCACTTTGACATGTTATGGTTGAGCTATGCATGGACTAACGAAACCAAAACAGTAAGAAACTTAAAGTAGGTATTGCCCATTATCTATCTAGCCTTGGCTCACAATACACAGCAGATTTCCTTAAATTTTAATTTGTCTCTTGGTTCAAGGGCAGCCAGAGGAATGGTAACTGACCATTACCATTGTCGTCATGATTTTCACTCTCAAGGGCATGCCATCTCCCTCAATAGTTACAATTTAATGAAGGAAGTGTCCATTGTAGTTCCTTAATGAAAGTTTCCAAAAAAACATGCTGCAGTGCCCCGATGTGTCTGGGGGAGTTCTAAGTATACAAAGAAGCAGACTGGGGCCAGCTGGCTGGACCAGATAGCTGTATACTTGTGTTGTGAGTGTCCTCTTCCCAGAGTCAGTTTGTCTATATGTTCCATGCGAAACAATCACTTTCTGAATCCACCATGAAACTGAAAATATTAGATGAATACTGTAGTTTATTCTCCGGTTCTTACATAAATCCTCTCTCAGGCTCCCCTGTCTCCTAACATCAGACCTGGTTGAATATTTCTGATGAGGTTCTGAGCAGCTTCAGAGATGGGAGCATTTGGTCTTAAGCTCTGCCTGGAAGCTTGGGCAGCTGAAACTGGACCATCCACTTTAACTGCTACCCCTCTAGTGTCTGCCACAGCAAGGCAGGCAGGGGAAAATATTTGTGGAAAAGAAGGCATGAAGGAGGGAGGGAGGGAGGGCAGGAAGGAAGGAGAGAGGGAGGGAGGGAGTACTGGATGAGAGAAGGAAGGAGGGGTAGAATGAGGAAGGAAAAGAGGGAGGGACAATAATGGTCTCTACATATCCCAAACACTTCTAATAAGTAATGCCCTTTGAGTCTGACATCTTTCTTACCACTTCAGGTGAACGGAGGTCCTTCAGCATTATGTTTGCCTCTAAATTCAGTTGGTTTCTTATGTCCTGTCGCCTCTTGCCAATTACTGGTGCATCTACAGTGATCACCAAAGCTTTGAAACCCTGGCCTTCTGCTCTCTGAATCAGCAGTTTGTTGAGCTCCCAGTCTGACTGCACATAGAGCTGGAACCATCGGAGGCCTCTGGGGGCAGCAGCAACAATGTCCTCTAGGGTACAGCTGGCATAAGTGCTGGTGATGTAGCAGATGTTGGCTTCTTGAGCAGCTGCAAAGCAGAGGGTGTGACCCAGTTTGGAAGGCAGAGTTGTTTGAACTAGCCTCCCTGGCCCAGTTTCCCAGAGAGTTTAGTGAAAGCCCAAGCCCATTCTACTTCCCCACAGGGCAGGATGAGAGAGTGTGTAGTTCAACCGAGAGGCCTATCGTGTGTGCCCTCTTCTGTGTAAGCTGCTCTATAAGTCTTGTTCTCCATAATGAAGATTTTCTAACAAGAGATGCTATTGAATCCCCAGACTGCTGTTGGGTATGTTATACCCATTGGGTGGGAAAGCAAACCTCCTATGAATTCCTTGGTGGAGGAGAGGGAATGAATAGACTGGAGATTGTTCCACTGCAAAATCATGAGCTTTGTAGTAGAACACCCACATATCTGAAAACCAGAAGACTGAGTCCCACTCCTCCTTTTCTATGTGGCTTTATTAATTCCTTTATATCAAATGGAAGAGGTAGCAATGTATGTCACGGCTATTAAATTTATTTTTCTTATTTCCTGCTTTCATCATGGCAGTGTGTCTCCCCAGTAGGTTAATATCACTATGAAGCTATAGCAGTGGCCAGAAAATTTGGCATAATCAAAAATCAATGCCAATGCATATATTTTTATAGTCTAGATACATAATGTTATGCAAACAATGACTTAAGCAATCCCTTTGCTATCAATTTTTTCAAGGTATCTTTGTGTAGTTTTGGCTATCCTGGAACTCACTCTGTAGACCAGGCTGGCCTTGGACTCACAAAGCTACTTCTGTCTCTGCCTCCCAAGTGCTGGGATTAAAGACATTCACTACCTCTGTCCAGATTTGCCACTGGCCTTAATTCCAACAAGATTGACGCCCTGAAGGCCTTTCTGTAAGAAGACTTGATGCCCCTGACACTATTGTGGGTGAGGCCTCACACCCACTTCTAGCCTTCTAGAAAGGGAACCTTCAAATGGAATGATTCATACCTCTGGCTGTGCTCCTTTCTCCATCTGCCCAGGCAATAGAGTGAAAGGCGGTGGGTGAGATACAGATGGGGGCCTTGATCTCCTGCCCTTGGATTGTGGTCCTGGTGTCCACCTCTGACACATCTCTCAGGTATCTGGGGCGGAGGCGGAGTCTGCACTAGGCAATAAGGTGGATTATTCTCTAACATGGTGATACTTTCTGTCTGCAATTGGGAGCCTGATTCCAAATGCCAGTCAGTGCAGATTTAGATCTCTGAGCCTTTGGTGGGTTAGCAGTGTAGGCTCAGGAAGAGGCTAATTGCCACGAAACCATTTCCCCACATTAACCCAGCAACTCCTGAGCTGTTGGAGAACCAGATCTACTTTAGCCTCTGCCTTGCTGTTAGAGTCCTGCCTCTGTGACTTCCTGCTCAGTGCTTAGATGCTTAATTTAGTCTTTATCAGCAATGACTAGACAGGGAAAGAAAAGGAAGGAAGGCATTTTAGGTGTCCCCAGAAAGAATGACAAAGCAATTAAGAGCCCAAATCCTAGAAAACAATCTTGTCATTGTCCAGTACCCTCTTGTCACCGCAGGAGCCTAATTCATTGACTTATACACTGCTTTAGGGAGGTACAGCAATTCACAAATGACATATAAAACACTATTTTATGACAAATAGAAACTTGGCTATAGCTCTTGTCAGTCGACATATGCTCCAGCCTTTAATTCTCAAGTCCAATTCTCACTGGAAGCAACCTTCCATTATCCCTAAACTACCCTTTGATCTCATTTTCTTCAAACTTGAGTCCTTTCCCCTCCAAGGCAGAAGTTTTAGAAGCCCAGGAGCTCTAGGTGGACATGTAGGTTTCTCTGCCAGGCACCCCTGCTGGCCCTGTTCCATCTTTACATGTTACAAAGTTGCTGGCACACAGAGAACTGCTAACTCACTTGCCCTAGAACTAAGACGGATTTTTGTCTATAAAGCTTTCGCCCAACTCCCTATGCCTCAACCCCACACCACGATAAAATAGCACAGAAGCCAGCCATTTCCCTCTGTGTGCTGTGTTCGCTGAAGGCAGACGCCAGAACTGTTGCCAGGAGCTCTTAAGCAGTGTACATTAGAGTAACAATAGAAAGGATAAAGAGAAGACCTTTTAAATGCTGCGACGTTGTCATTGTTTGTGATGCCCTCATCAGCTTCTCCTTCAATAAAGTCCCATGATGACTTAGACAGCTGCTCTTGTGCATGCGCCTTAAAGTCTGCCAAAGACACCAAAGACATTTCTGGACCTTCAAAAAAAGCAAAACCCGAACAAGCCCATTGAGAACACTTTGGACAGAAATGGAAGGCCAAAGGGGACCCAGAGTGTGAAGCTGATTCGATGTAACATCTATATTTTGGTGTTCTTTAACTGAGTGTATTTACTGCTGACCCCCAAACCAGAAAATTTCCATCCTCTCATGGCCACTGATGATTTGGTCTTCGAAATATCTACCATGACTGCTTCTAATGTTTTACATCCCCTGTTTTAGATCTGGTTGAGGCTGTGCCACCTCTTAAGAGATTAAAACCCTCCTCCAATTGTCTCTTGTCTCCTCATCTCCTTCCAGGTGGCTGAGATCTTCATGAAATGGAAGTTTTTTGCACTCCTGGTGTCTCTAAGTGCCCATACCACCTCACTTGCCCCTTTCCAAGACCTGCCTCCTGACTGCCTTCGTAGCTTCATGTCTCAGCGGCATTACTTTCACTTGGCTTCATATCACTGTGTGAAAAACAAAGTCATGTCTGACCTTATATCAGTGTCCAGGAAGTTTCCAGGATGTCTGAACTACCCAGGGATGAAAGCAATTTATTTATTTTTTTGATTGCTCCTTGGCTGTGTGGTTGGACATGTTGCCAAAATGTCACCACCTTTTACCTCTTTGCCAAGAACACATCATGTTTCCTTTTATTGCCATCAGTGATCTGAATCCTGGAAATGGTACATGGTACTTGTGATGTAAACACATAGAAAGAGTGAAGAAGGCAGAGTCTAGTGGTCACCGTTAACCTTTCCAATAGGGGTAAGGACAGTAAGATCAGTAGCTGAAAATATGCTGTAGACACTGGGGTTGGTCACAGCATTCAGGGCTCTTACATGATGAGAAGATTCTGGAAAAGGATGGGAGACAATAGTGAAAAATTACCCCGGGCCTAAGAGCCAAATGACGTTTAGCTTATTGGCTGAGGGAAAGGTATATGCCTCAGAAGCTCACTCTCCAATTAGGATTAGAATAAAGAAAGGACCAAACAGCTAAGTGAAAATGTGAGGTGCTGAGTACCTCGACTGGGCTAGAGATGAGGCAGAACTGGCCTGAGGGTAACTGGAGCCAGGAAAATGTCTGATAAAGTCCAACGAGAAGTACCACATAATTCCTACCTAAAGGGCTAAACACAAGTTCTGTGACAAAAAAATCCAGGGTCCCTGGGATGTGAAATGTTTACATGGAGGTGAGGAAGAGGCCCTGGACTTCATCTATAGAGCTTTGCATAGACAACCTTGTCAGTGGATGGGCAGGAAGCTCCCAAGGTGCTGAGTTAATCTGACAAAATCCAGCAACGATATTTAACTCACCCCTACCTACTGATGTGTCAAAGCAACAACAACAATAAAAAAAAAAAAACCCCAGGCCAATGAATTACTTATTTAACAACCAACTATCTTACAATTGCTTATTCATAATTCTCTGTGCATGGAAAAGTTAATACAATAGCCCTTAAAAGGGTTTTGACATAATACCTGCTTTCAAGGTTAGAGCTTGGTTTATGGCTAGAAACTGGTATCAGCGGGGCCTGATAAAAGCAATTTAGTGTTTCTGAACTGTTATTATAAACAATGTGGCTTATGCTAAACATCTGCTTTCCTTGTAGGAGCCTAGGACTTTGGTGCAGACAGTAATCGAATAACCAGCCCCCAACATGAGCCTGTAGGCACAATCTCTAACACATCTCATCTTAACATTAGGGGATTCAATGCATTTCTTGGGAGCTTATACTTCCTGTCCTAACTTTCCTTTCCATCCTTCCACTCAAATAACCCATAGCCTCAACTATATGATGAATTCTGTGAATTCTTTTGTAAATCCATTGACCTACACCCTGTACCTCTAGGCTTTAGGATGGTATGACACTGAATTACATTGTGTATGTGTTAGTATTTCTCTGTGTGCCATGTCTCTGCTTTGATTGGGGGTAAAATTCCAGCATATATAATTTGTTGGCATCCTGTATATTGCCCATGGCAATGGTCTTGTAAGCCCATCTAGCATAGAACCTGCACAGAGCTGGAGTATAATCCAAGAGAAGCAGTTCAGAGTTACCTGTCCATAGTACTGTGATTATGGAATTTGAAGGCTTTTGACAATACAGCATTAGTCTCAACATCCTTAAATGTAACCAAAGTGGTCTTGTTTACCTATACCCTTCTAATCTTCCTATCTACTAGTAGCTGTCAACATCTCTGTTGAGTAGACAGAGGCATAAAAGCTAATGGGTTGGGTTTTTAAAATATTTTTTTCTTATTTTACATATCTATTCCAGTTCCTTCTCCCTCCCTTTCTCCCTTGCCCCACCATCACCCTCCCATACCACCCCCCCCAACTCCACAAGGAGGGTGATGCTTTCCAGGAGGGGTCAACAAAAGCTGTCAAGTCATTTGGAGTAGGAACTGACTAGGCCCTCCCTCCTGCCTCTAGGTTAAGGAAGTATCCCTCCATGGAGAATGTGTTCCCAAAGTCCTTTTGTGCACTAGGGATATATCCTGGTTCCACTGTCAGAGGTCCCTTAGACTGTCCAGGCCTTCTAACTGAGACCCATGTTCAGGGGGTCTGAGTCTGCCCAATTCTGGATTCCCAGCTATCAGTCCGGGGGACCCATTAGCGCCTCCTTGTTCAGGTCAGCTGCCTCTGTGGGTTTCCGTAGCTTGGTCTTGTCCTCCCTCTCTGCATCTGGATTCCAGTTCAGCTCAGTGTTTAGCTGTGGGTGTCAGCTTCTGTTTCCATCAGCTACTAGATGAGGGCTTTATGATGGTGGATAAGTTAGCCATCAATTTCATTATCAGGGAAGGGCATTTAAGGTAGCCTTTCCACTGTTGTTCAAATTGTTAGTTGGGGTCAGTCTTGTAGGTCTCTGGACATTTCTCTAGAATCAGTTTTCTCTTCAAACCTATAATGGCTCCCTATTTCATGGTATCTATTATTAACCTCTTTCTTTTTGAGTCATAGAGAATGAGGCTCAGAATAAGAAACTTGTGGGTGATTAGACAGTAAAGCCATGTAGGCAATGACTTGAGAACTATAGCTCCTGTTAGCCTCCAAGGATAGATGCTTGCCTCAATTCAACAGTAAAGAGCAACTTTGTCATAGTAGTATTTTAAAATGTAAATTTTATGTAACATTTACATATGATGTATAAAGTATATCTATAAATTTTGATCAGTAATTTAAATTACATTTGAGAAAATTTGGAAGTTTTCAAAAATTACATTTTTGAAATTCATTTTCAAAAATTACATGTTTAAATAATACTTGAGAAAATTTTGGAAGCTTAAAGATACAATTATCCATTTTTATTTTTATGATATATGTAAAGGTCAGTAAAGTACTGAGTTCATTATTTTTATTAAAAGAACAATGTAAAAGTATGGTTGAAGGGGATCGGTTATACTTTGCCATTCAAAGCTTTCCACAAATTTGAGAAAGAACTTAGTTCAGTGTTTTTGGATACTGCAATCTGCTTCACACCAGAGTTGGAAGGGAGGATTCTGTTCATCCATGATCCCTTGTGTGCCCATTTCCTCTATCTCATTTGTGAGCTTCATGTCTGCTCTTTTTGACTCTGATTATCTTGAGAAACAGGCTGGGAATAAGGAAAAGCCTTTTGTTTCAGGAACTTTATGTCCTCAAGCTTCTTTAAGCTCTTCTTATAGGGTTGAAAATTGGAGAAACAATTTATAAATAAGTGATCATATGAAAATCCAAGAGCAAGGATGTTTAGAGTATCTGCTGTTTGGTCTGATGTTCAAACCCTGATCTCTGATACCTGACTCATGATGTAAACTGGGCTGACTCTCTTGTTGAGGAAGACATTGTTTTGTTCAGGGTGATAATCAGAGCTGAGTCGATTATCCTAGACAACTCATTATTTTCCTTTGAAGATTTTATATGCTGCATGTTGCTATTACTTAAGAAACTCTAGAATACTGGATTTTGCATTTAGTTGGAAGACTCTGGGGTCATCTGTGGGGAACTAGGCGAGAATCATGGGGTACTGGGAGACAAGGGGGAGGAGGAAGCAGTTTGTCTCACTGAAGGTTTCTTTGGTAATACAGGACATGTCCTTGGCTGAGCTCTGGGAATTTAGGCCAAGATTTTGAATGTCAAAGATAAGATCAAAGCCACAGTTTGGGAGATTATAGTATCCAAGGTTGGCTAAAACTGTTCCAACCTCAAGGATAGATGTTGCAAAAGGCAGGATAATCTTCAAAGCTTTTTATCCACAGCACTTATCTTTTTAAAACGCAGTAATGAATCCATGGCTGAGTTATTTAGGGAGAGTAGAGCAGGATGTGGCTCTGTATGCTTTCAGTGTAAGGGGCCTAGGACTGAGGGCCTGGTCCCTTAGGCAAACAGTGGAATCACAAAATCATAAGGGAACTATCCCTGGAACTAGGTAGAGAAGGTCCCAGGACAACTATAATAGAAGTACCTAACCCAAGAAGGATTAGATTAGTAAAAGGTCTTCCCTCAGAGTAATGACAAGAAAGGAGTGTTCCAGCACAGGGGCGTGTGGAGAAACAGTGTCACATTTGTATATGTGTTTAAAGTGAGGAAGCAGAGGCACCTGTTCAGCCAGAGGCTGCAAGAATTGGTCAGCAGTCACAGTCAGCTTAGAAGTAATTCTGGTCAAATCTCTGGACCATCATGTTAAAGGCACAGGACCCTTTCAGGCCATGATGATCATTCACTTATTTTATAAGACGGTAATTCCTCTTCTTCACCCCAGTGACCCTCAGCCACTCATTGTCTCATTGTCTTGCATTCCTTTTCTATAATGTCACTTTCTTTCTTATCCTGTGGTTATGTGCTGTCATGGGGAGTGTGCTGTTTAGGTGTTTCTCAACCCTCTCTGCACTGGTGCAAGGCACTGATTCATGCTTGTGTTCTACTCCAGGGACTTACGTGTCACAGCTCTGGGACTTGCTCATCCCAGAGCCCTTGAATGCATTATCAGAAGCATCTTGACACTCCTTACTTACGTTTTCTTTTCTTTTCTTTTCTTTTCTTTTTTTTTTTTTTTTGTTAAATTCTCCTTAGATTGCTGTTCTACATAACCAACATTCACAATAAATAAAAAATAAGTACAAAATAATATTTTATAGTTTCCCATGTTGAATAATGCCTATCAATACAATAACATTGCTTTGTAGCCTTTTGTATTGTAGCTGAACTAGTTTTCACAAACTTTGTTAATTAAGTGGGTGCTTTCTGTCACTTAGAATTCAACCACTACTTTAATATCATTTTGTCTATGGGAAAATCTGTTCTGAGCTCCAAAGGAACAACTCCCAAGTAGAGTGTTGATGTCCAACTATTGTTAATTGTTTGCTTTTTATAGGAATTAGAGACACTGGTAGTGTTTAGGAAGATTAGGGGATTTTCTGATTCAGTTAAGCATGAGATAATTTCATTATGCATGTTTGGAACAATATGATGCTTCCTTTATAAAAAACAACAACAACAAAAAAGATGGTGATGGCAACAATACATTGTAACCATTTGTCTAGTGCTCCATAACACTAAGTACACAAACCACTAATGTTTTAATTCTTTTTTGTCACCCCCAAAAGAAAATACTATTGTCCTCCATTTCACAAGTGAGAGAAAGACGAAAAGACTTCATACAAAATCACACACCTAGTAGTAGCTTGTTCGGATTTCAGTTGCCTGGCTGCTAACCACTATGAAAAGAAGAAAATATCTTTTGCAAAAAGTGGCATATAGAATGAAGGAGTGGGCTTGTACCTTAGATATTCTAAATGCCATGGTCATATATAGTATTTCACTTCACCTGGCAACGTCACAATTCTACCGGGAAATAGACGGCTACCAGATAATCAAGCAAGCCACCAAACCACCAACCAAACAAAACCACCAATCCAGATCTATCTCAGCACCTTATAAAACATTCTTCCATGTGCTACAGCATCTGATGCTCACAATACAGAGGGCATGGAAGAGTTTAATTTCAGATTTTAAAAACCCATTTACTCCCGACACATTTGAAGTCACATGGAATGGTGTATGGAGGAAACACCACACCAGCTGTGCAGCACAGGGTGATCTTGGTCAATCCTCACAAATTCAAGCCTAGTACTGGGAAAGGTGCCCTGAGTGATCCCTTGAGATCACTGTCTTGCCTCTAATTGCTCAGCATAGGGTATGCAAACAGACAGAAGTTACACAAATGGTTCCTCTTCTTTTCATCATAGGCCAAAGAGTTAAAAATCCCAAATGCTTCCACGTCTAAAACTGACTGCCAGCATGATACTGTTACATTCCCGACTTCACACCGTGGCAAGTAGTCAAACCACAATGCACGAAATGACCTTGACTATGAGCAAAGTACAAGTGAATTTTGTTTTTAGACAAATTTGACCTTCATCTCCGGGGTGTCCCATTATGCATACATCAATATTCCACCAGCATATCTGTAGCACTTGCACCCTAAACTAGAGAAATTTCTCAGTCTCAGTCGTTTAAGGATAATTAGGATTACATGGCTAGTTCTACCCAGCAGGCTTGGTATGGACATGGCATGTGATAGTCTGCTGGTAAAATTTAGGATGCTTCATTTATGCTGCTATAGCCATGCAAAGGCCTCATCTTCCAAAAGCCACAGCTATGAGATGAAGACAGCTTGGCTTTCTGAATCTCTGTTTGGAAAGGGTTAACATTATATGTCAGATAATTTTAAATGAACAAATATGTATTATTTGTACATATACATTTTTATGGTAACTCACTGATGTTTCAGAATATACTTTTACAACTAGCAACTAGCTTTAGCTAGATATCTAGGTGCTGTCCTAAATAGTGGAGATTAATTGAAAGTTGTAGTCTTTCAGTCTCAGCTCTCAGGACACTTACAGACAATGTTGAAGATGGGGGTCAATATTTCATTCACGGTTTACTGGTATGATTTAGAGATTAATATGAGTGATTTTCTAGGGAAAACTACTGGAAACATTGGGGGAAATCTCCATTGCTTCTAAAAGGGGACTTCAGGTGATGCCGACTATCATTTGTACAAGTTCCAGGAGATACTGAGTTATAAAATCAGGACATCACTATCTACCTCAGGGCTCTCTCAAGAACTGAAGGACTTAGTAAAATGCAGAATTACAGAATGATGCCCAATAAAGGCTTTGAGAGATATGCATTCTGGGAGGGTGTAGAAAAACATGAAAGCCCCCTTTCCCTTTGATCTGTTTCCAGATTCATCTATTCCATTCAACTATTGGCTATCTATATGCCAATGCCACCCTGTCTTGGTTCCTGTTCTTTTCAGTCCTTCCTAGATAGATCTGTAGACTCATCTGGGAGCGGATCATAATCCTATAAAGCCAGTCTACTGAAGGCAACCAATAACTGCTTTCAAAGGAGCAAATATCTCCAAATAAATGACACAAGTTTGTTTTTTAAAAAATATTAACTACATTGCTTTTAAAAAATAGTAGACCTGTCACTGTCTTTTTCTTGTTGTGACCAATGCTCCATATAATAGGCACATCTAAGGGCAAGGACCTTATAGGTTCTCAGAACCCCTTTAAGTGGACATAGTTTGATCGATTTCTCCTAGGGATACATACACATTCTATAATTTCCAGGTTTAAATTCACCAGACTTAACTTTTCTGCATGCAGATTCTTTGATACCATAGCTTCCTCAAATAATGGCTAAATTCCCCCCTGCCACTTATCTTCATGTTAGACTCTTTGCCAAATTGTCACACAGATGCTTAACCTAGGTAGTACTTCACCTGCTGTGTTATCTTCTCTCCAGCTTCCAAGCATATAGACAATAACCCAAGACAAACCTGATTCTAAAGTCTTCCAATAATCAGGAATAGCAGTATGTAAGCGGCAGCTATGCAAAGCCTGGTGTAGTGGCTCACTGCCCAGAGCAGGGGTAAAAGATATTCAAGGATAAATATTAACTTTTGGTGAAACAGTTATCAGGGAAGTACTAAATAACTAGTGCAGATAAAAGTGAGTTTTGATGTGAATTTGAGTGGTTTTGTAATGCTTGCTTCCAAAACTAATTGTTTCCAAGACATTACAAGGACCCTGAAATCTGTTGTAATATTAAAAAACTTTGAAATAAAGTAGTTGCTTATTTGCTTTCAAACCACCTGTTCATAAATATGGTTGACGGAAGGAATATGAGTGATTTCAGGGAGAGAGTTTAAAAACCCCTACACTGGAAAAAGGAGGCCTTTGCCTGGGAGTTGGTGAGCAGAAAGAAAAACAGGTAATACCTTGAAATCATAGACAGAAGAACAGATAATAGGTTCCTATGGGCAGGAAGGTAGTGAGGACCTCGGGCAGGGGAGCATTAAGAACAATGCTGGTCTCTACATACTGAACCAGAAAATCAAATCAATGTAGGAGACAGGGAGACTATTAATATTGTTGAGGACATCCCTCAGTAAAGAGGGATGATGGATTGAAAGGGGAAATGAAACTGTACTCAGAAAACAAGGGAACGATGTCCTCAGAACAGACTGTGTGATTCATTTAAGTGACTAATTTATTGACTGCACAGATCCTTCCCCTCTTCTTCCCCAGCTGTTATCAGTTGCTTTTATATTACAGCAGCATGCAACATTTCAAGTTGTTGCAATACACCAGACACATTCCATGAAATATTTTATTTGATTGCCTCACCAGATACATGGTTCAATGCTGTTTTCCCCATTTCTCAGAAAAATGGATGAGGTTAATTAACCCGCTAACCCAGTGTGCAGGCTTGACCATTAGCCTGATGGGATTTAGGATTGCCTGACCAACGCCCTTCTGGGTGTGTATGTATATGGGTGCTTCCACAGAAGCTTAAGTGAGTGACGTGAGCAGCTCTGGACAGAAAGTTGTAGGTTTGGGACCCCAGGCTCAATAAAAAAGAAAACAAATGCCTGCAATGTAAGCATTCCAGTGGCCAAGGCAGATAGGTTGTCAGAAGTTCAAGGCTAGCCTGGACTACATAGTGAGGGCAAAGATTGCATTAATGAAGCTATAAAGCGCTGTTCACACAAAAGAAGGAAGAACAGAATAAAAGCAAACCAAATAAGTGGAAAAACCAAACAAAAGAGAAAGTGAGGAGCACCAGCATTCACCATTTAGTTTCCTGACTGTGGGTACAGTATGACCTGCCACCTTCTGCTGCCAGCATAATGATATATAACCCCCTTTAGACAATGAGCCCAAACAACCTCCCCGCTTCTGTAAATTGCTTTTGTCAGGTATTCTGTCATAGCAACGAAAAAAAGTGATGAACACAAACACTAATGAGCAGAATTAGGAGCCAAGCCCACCTTGTCCCCCCACACAGCCATAGCTGTGTCTTCTGATGGCCATGGAGGTGAGACCTGGCCTTCTTCTAGCATCTGCAGTGTGAGTGAAAAAGAAGTTTCCTGCTGGCTTTCCAAAACTTCTCCTGCTTTATCTGCTTTTCTCTTCATCTGTTTGGAAGGGAAATGATCGTGTTCTGTCCACTAGATGGCAATATTATCTTTAAAATGCTTTTAAAGTAGCCTGCTGTTAATCTGGGAATTTCTTTTCCAGAGCAATTTCAGCCCTTTGTAAAGAGCTCCTAGGTACACTGGCCATCAGCTCTGATGTCACTGTATTTTGATTGACATCATCCATTACATCTCAGATCACATTTCTCTGTTCCAGAAAGCAGCTCATGGAAAGATGAATCTCTTTTAAACAAAATATTTATTTATTATGTATAAAGTGTTTTGCTTACATGTGCACTTGCATGTCAGAAGACAACAGATTTCATGGTGAGTCTCCATATGATGGCTGGAAGTTGAACTCAGAACTTCTGTAAGAGCAGCCAATGCTCTCAACCTCTGAGCCTTCTCTCCAGCTGGGGGAAGATGATTCTTTTTGTTTCTTTTTTTAATTTGTTTTTTTTTTTCTTATTTTACATATTGACCCCAGTTCCTTCTCCCTCATTCCCTCCCTCTCTCTCTCCCTCCCATCTCCCCTACCCTTCCATCCCATTTCCCTCCCCAACTCCACAGGGAGGGTGATGCCTTCCCGGAGGAGTCAATATAATCTGTCAAGTCATTTGGAGTAGGAACTGACTAGGCCCTCCCTCCTGCCTCTAGGCTAAGGGAATATCCCTCCATGGGGAATGTGCTCCCAAAGTTCTTTTTGTACAGCAAGGATACATCCTGGTTCCACTGTCAGAGGTCCCTTAGACTGCCCAGGCCTTCTAACTGAGACCCATGTTCAGGGGGTCTGAGTCTGCCCAATGGTGGTTTCCCAGCTATCAGTCTGGGGATCCATTAGCTCCTCCTTGTTCAGGTCAGCTGCCTCTGTGGGTTTCTGTAGCCTGGTCTTGTCCTCCCTCTCTGCATCTGGATTCTAGTTCGGCTCAGTGTTTAGCTGTGGGTGTCTGCTTCTGTTTCCACCAGCTACTAGATGAGAGCCCTGTGATGGTGGATAAGTTAGTCATCAATCTCATTATCAGGGAAGGACATTTATGGTAGCCTTTCCACTGCTGCTCAGATTGTTAGTTGGGGTCAGTCTTGTAGGTCTCTGGACATTTCTCTAGAGTCAATTTTCTCTTCAAACCTATAATGGCTCCCTCTTTTATGCTCTCTCTCCCTTCCCCCCTCTCTCTCGTCTATTCCTCCTGTGACTCAATCTTCCTAGTCCCACGTGCTTTCCTCTTCTCCCCTTCTCTTTCTCCAAACTTCTTCTCCACTCACTGCCCCCCCCAATATGCTCAGGATATCTTGTTCCTTTTTCCTTCTGTGATTCTGTGTGAATCTCTTAGAATCCTTCATGTATTCTAGTTTCTCTGGCGGTGTGAATTATAGGCTGATGATCATTTGCTCTGTGTCTAAAATCTATATATGAGTGAGTACATACCATGTTTTTCTTTTTGTGACTGGGTTACCTCATTCAGGATAGTTTCTTCAAGTGCCATCCACTTGCCTGGGAATTTCAAGATTCCATTGTTTTTTGTTTGTTTGTTTTGTTTTGTTTTCTGCAGAGTAGTATTCTATTGTGTAAATGTGCCACAACTTCTTTATCCATTTTTCAGTTGAAGGGCATCTAGGTTGCTTCCAGGTTCTTGTTATTACAAATAATGCTGCTACAAACATAGATGAACATATATGTCTTTGTGCATGGATGTGGATCATTTGGGTATATGCCTAAGAGGGGGATTGCTGGATCCTGTGGTAGACTAAGGGAAGATTATTCTTAAGCTTTGCTTCAAGTCATGTATTTATTAAGCTCTACATGTTATTTGAATTCTTTGTTCCTCAATTCTTCATATCTCCTGCACCATAAGGAGAAGTATCCTAGCTTGTTTTCTGTTCACTGTGGGGAGGAAAATGTTTATTCCAGGACACCAAGTTGTAGTCCATAGCTAAGGGGCACTAAGGCAGGAACCTGGAGACAGGAACTGAAGCAGGAGCCATGGAGAAGTGCTGCTTACTGGCATGTTATTAATGGCTTGTTCAGCCTGATTCTTTTTAAAACATAGCAGGGAACCATCTGCCCTGGATGGCACTGTCCTCATCTGGTTAGCTCCTCCTACCTCAGTCATTAATCAAGAAAATGCAAAGACAGCCTTGCCTAGAGGCCAACATGATGGAGATGTTTTCTCAATTGAGTCTCTCTTCCCATATGACTGTAGATTGTGTCAATTTGACAAAAATCTAACCGCACAAGAAGCAAATTAGCTGATGTATGTATTGCTGATAGTAGCTAGAGAAGAGAAAGTTCTCATAGGATACTCTCAAATTTGAACCATTTACCACCCTAGATCGTTTTTGAATAGGGTGATTGTACTGAGCCAAAAAGCATCCTTCTTCCAAGGTAAAACATTTGATATCAGGATTCAGTGCCCCCACCTCAGTGGATAGGTATAAGGTCACAGATAGAGCCATTTGAGGTGGAAGCTTGGCAGAATCTCTTGGGTTCTAGAGAATCTGGCAAAACAGGCCAGTTTTGAACTCATCTGAGAAATAGGATTAGAGTGCACTCAGGGTGTAACTGGGAAGCAGTATTTGTCTTTTTCAGGTGTCCATTACTACTCATTGAGCAACATGCCTCTTCAGTTTGGGCGATGAGAATGAGATACCATTCTAAGCAATTGTGGTACAGCCCAAAAGCAATTGCCCTCCATGAAATGCTGGAATCCTGTGCAATTTCAATGACTATTGATGAGGGGCTGCCTGGTCCTCAAGATCCTTCTGGTTTTGCCCTGTGATGTGTCTCATTTGAGATAGTTTTGCAAGTCAGGATGAATTCTGGACTTGGTTGTACATGCCTTAGAGTGCTATTTGTCCTTTGAAGGCAATCAGGTTAATGCTACCCTCCAGCGACTGAAATCAGTCATGGATAGGGCTAAGTCATATCAAAGGAAATTTGCTTATTTCTGATCCCATTATGAGTTATGAACTTTCAGCAGTGGCTAACCTATTGGTAGGGCCAGAGGCATTGCATGAGTTATAAGGACATATGGGAAGAGGCCTAAAAGGGGGCTGGTGGAGATCTAGGGAACAAGACAATGACTTTTGTTATAGATTGCACTATTTCTCCTTATTTGGTAGAGTCAAAAGTGTCCTCTAGCTTCTGAGTTCACTACATAGGCCAGATCAGACTAGAAAGAAATAGAGTATCAGGACCTGGTATTGAGCTTTCCTCAAGTCTTCTGGGGAAGAATGGGAGATCAAGATTCCATTCTCACCAACTTGTATTGGGAATCCTGGCAAAGACATCAGACCACCCCACAGCTCAATATTGAGAGGGTATGGAGAAGGCCTGCATTGTGCTTGGTAGAACAAAGTTCTCCTTTAATAAGAGCTAGTACTGTTGGCAACTGGGCTGAGGTTCA